AATAGGGGCATTCTAGAATTTCATGTTACCTATATCAGAAAATTTGTACAGGTCCTCAATTCTATACCTGCAATTCCTAAATCCAAAAAGCTCTGCAAACCCTTTTTTCATAACTTCTTTGGCAGCAAAATCTGACCTGCTCTAACATAACACTATTTATAGTCTTAGCAGAAATAGTAACAAGACTGACTCCTAGATGTTGTTCCAGACTCCAGTAAGAGGTTAATGTCACTGTATATATACCATATTTTCTTAAAAAAAAAAAAAAATTGAATTCTGAAAAACTCTAGTCTAAATGGTCTTGGAAAAGAGATTGTGGATGTATAGTTCCATCTCTGAAAATGAAACAGCAATGAAGCAACATGATAAGGGACAGAAAATTACTAAAGGAAATTGTCCTTCCGTAAACGCCACTAGGACACGTGATTAAAATGAGACATACAAATTATTTCTCAAAGGAAGAAAACGGGGCTATCTGAAATCGATATAATTTAAAATAAACAGTGTAAAAGTTCAGTTAACAGTATCTGAGGAAATTAAAACACTTAAGTAACATGAACATGGTTTGAGATGTACTGGGTACACGTTCACTGATTTTCTTCTAGCAAGCAACTAGCTAGAGCACACAAAACTTTTAGTCTTGCTTGAACAATATCATTCATTTATAGATTAAAACAAAACAGGAATTGTGGGGTACATATTTAAGACATATAAGAAGGAGTGATTTGCTAAGAATATTAAGTTAATTATGTTAAGAACATTCTGCATAAGGCCAGTTAGTCACATCTAATTCATACTGGACCAAAATGAAACAACTTCCTAGACTTGTTACTGCTTGCAACATTGTAAGTAAATATAGAGACACAGTATCTAAAAAGACAATAAAATATATCTCATCCTTTGTCTTAATTAGTGAAACATGAGTAATATTACTGATTACAACAGATAAGACTTCTGCCTCCATCAACTCATATGCATGCAGTTCACGATAAACTTTTACTAAATTCCCATTGTCACCCTTCTGGAATTATGTGGCATTTGATGCAGTATAATTATTTCTCTTTTTTAGTTCTGCTTGCTGATAGTACCTGCCTTACCTTTCCAGCAAGTAGGTCCCTATCAGCCATCAATCAACAAGGAGTTGTATATTAGCTTAATATTAGCTTAATGGTTAAGCAATAATGTTGATGTTATTTGTTTTATTAATTGACTATTTTAGATAAACCCTGCTATTACTAAAATTAATATGATTTCTTGGTGATCACTTTATTGTGGCAACTATATTTCCCCTCTAACTATCCAAGAGCACATCCATGTATACACTTGCAGACCTATTGTACTGATGGGTGCTAAGCTCCAAGAGAGGCACCTCTAGAGATTGGTATCTTAAATTTCTCCCAAAGGATGTCCTACACTCGCCATCCATTCATGGTAAAGTAGTTAATTTTAATGTTCTCATTGTTTACCAGAAAGCACAGACAGTGAGGCTGGCTTTGCCGCTCCCGTTTCCTTTTGACTTCGCTTTGAGGCTATAAATATCTGAAAAATGTTCTGCATTTGATGCTCTTGGATTCTGCATCCATATTTAGCTGTTTGTGGCATGCCTTTGTTTAAGCTACTCTACCACCCATACAATCAGTCAGGTTGAGATCCGGATGGTCAAAGTACAGAAAGATCAACATTCAACAGACATTGACTTACTGTGAGCAAGGTACCAATCTGCTAGACATGGTAACAATGAAGGGGGTGGCAAGATAGGAATACAAAGATAAACTTAACAGACTCCCTGGTGTCAAAAATTTTATAGTCTTGACAGGGCGCGGGCACAACTTATTGTAATAATGGAATAAAACAAATGAAACATTTTACAACTAAAAGAAAATGGACAGGACAGCATAAACACTCTCTCTTAGTTGTGTCTCAAAGATGTGCATTTCTTTGTGTTCTAAATATAGATCCGCCCATTATAAAGCTCTGAACATTCCAGAAAAGTTTTCTAAAACACAAAGCTCTGGAGAGAGAGACAGAGAGACAGACAGACAAAGAGAGACAGAGAGAGAGGGAGGGAGACAGACAGACAGAGGTATCAACCAAAGATCCAGACCTGTCGATAGCAAACTCAAAACAGTGCCTAGTCTTCTAAATGTTTCCGTTAAGATGTTCTGGGAAGGGGGGACACGTATTTTTGTTGCTGCTGTTTGTTTGCATACTGATTTCAAACATAAGTGTGCTGCAGAGGATGTGAACCATTGCCAAAAGCCAAAAGCACTTAATACAGCTCCTTATTTTGCACCCTACCTTAAAACCCACATGGCTATATTAGGTTAGGTCTCAAAACTGAATGAGACAGAACTGAGCAAGATCCTCATCCCCACCTTCCTATCTTGTGAAAACATTCCAAACAAATTTACATCTGCCCTCAACATTCCTTCTTCCAAAACTCAGTTCATTGACCTTTTGATTAAAGTGCTCCCCAGAATACCCTGACAATCATGATTTAAATGCATTAAGGGCTTGCTTGGTGCCTGGCCCTGAGAGTCAGGCTGGAATCACTAGGCCAAGTTGTAGGTAAAATAACAGGGCAGGCCATAGAATCAGACAACTCTAAAGCTAAAATGAACCATAGACATCAATTACTCCAGATTCCATATTTTATGTAGAAATCTAGACCCACAGAGTTAAAATTACTTGCCCAAAGTTAGACAACCAATTTGTGGCAAAGCCGGAATGAAAACCCAGGTTCTCAACCCCCAGTGGCATAATCTGGACTAGGTTTCTCAGTTTCTGGATTTCTTTAAAAGACATTACACTCATCAAAGTCTCTTTAATTGCATAGAAGAACCCAGATATTCCAAAACAATCAGGATTTGAATACCCAAAAACAATCAAGTAAACAAGAAAACTAAAACAAACTAGTATTTTCCAAATTGATTTTCTATGGTCCATTATTTTTACTTCAAAGCTCTTCAAAGAGTTATATAATAGGCAATTTAAAAACTACCTAAAAACATAGAAAAGCCAAGAGTCATTAAGACAGTTTTGGAATATTTACATCAAACTAAAGACAGCAAAGCAGTATGCAGAATGAGCAGCTTTAGAGGCAGGAAAGTGGCAGTTCTAAACAGTACATAAAAACAACTTTTGGTTAATTCAATGCAGTAAAAAGTCTGCGACTTCACAATGAAACACACACTATGCATGTGTGTGTGAGAGTATATATACGTATGTATGTGTATACATACATACCTATATATATTTAAAAATACACATACACACACACCTCTCATAAATCTTGCCTTAGGAATGGACAACAAAAACAAGCACATATTTTTTATTGGTTAAATGCAAAGAATGATAGTTAACCTCGGTCTAGAAAATCCAGAGAATAGTTTTAGAAACTGATATGCTGAAATATTATATATACCTATTCTTGCAGTAACACAGCCCTATCTCTGACTTCATTAAAACAAACAGTATGGCAAAGAAGTCTATAAGGATACGAAGGATAGAATGGGAAAATGTGCTAATCACAATATATATTCTAATTCAAGCTCACTTTCAGATTCTCAACCTTGCTATAAACTATCGGCTAAATGGGATTAACAAGTGGATGGAAAATCAGGTACTAAAGTTTTTAATCTGCTGAGAATGAACTGGGTGACCTTGCATGATCTTCCACTTCGCTGCATTAATTATCTCAGTTAATTAGAATAACATCAAGAAGCATATAAACATCAAGCAAAATACAAAATGGTATACATACATACATCCATAAGAACTGGTTATAAGAACTGGATTTTTAGAACCGAAAGGGTCAGTAAAAAATTATTTAATCCAATCCACTCATTTTACAGATGAGAAAAAAGAAGTTAAAAAAGGTGACCTGATCTGCCCCAAGTCACATAGCCACATTAGCGGCAGAAATGAGACGCAAACTCAAATCTCTTAACTCCTAGTTCTGATTTTTCTGATAACGATAGATATGACGTCTTGAAATCAACTGAACTAACTAGAGAGACAACAAAGTCTTGGTCACTCCTGAATAAACATACCCTGTTCGGAAGAATGAAGAAAGAAACATAAGGTGCTCCATCATCGCAGGCCTAGATGCACATGACTGCAGGATAACATCTTTAAGACTGTGTTTGATCCCAGGTGCTTCAAATTTGCCTTCTTAGACTAAGCCACATTACTAACGTCTTTTGTGTTCATGTGAGTTAAATGATAAACATCTTGACATTCCAATATTTTGGAAAGCCACCGTTGAGTCCTGAATGCCAAGATATAAGTCCTTGGGCTATGAGTTTTCAAAACCAGCATGGTTTTCATGCTGCCACAAGGCTCACCCTAATAGGATCTCATCAGTTTTAATTAAAGAGGTGGTTACTAGGAATGCAGAAAGGGAAAGTTTTAGTGTGTTCATCACTTTTAACTTGCTGAGTAGCAATCCAGTCACTTTACAAAGAGAACCAGAAACAATACTGCAATCTGAAATAACCCACACCCCTCAGGATCAGCGGTTGTCTTTGGAGACTGAGGTTCAGAAAGAGCTTATACAGTCTGTTCCCACCAAATAAATACTTTTGGTTTATTTTATTACATTATTATCCCACGCTCTAACCTTCTTCATAATATCATGGTTTCCAGCCTTGCCTCAATCACGAGAAAGAAACGAAAACTCTGTTCACTTGATTTCATGGCGTGTTCCATCAGACGTTCCTGAAGATCGTTTGACAGTTCCCTGTAATCACCTAAGAATTAAGTCTGCATAGCCCAACTCTACCTTAAACTTACTGCAGGTTCCTGAAAAGGTCCAAAGACCGCACTGAGTCACATCTCTACCCAAGTGCGAGTCTGGAGAACTTGTCAGAAATGCATCCAAGAAGAGAAAGAGATGTGGGGAACTGACCCAGGATGAATGGGGACTGAGATCAGGGAATGAATTAAAGCCTGGGCGAAGGAAATATACACCGGCCTCTGTGACGGCCTGTGATCCTTACCGTACACCCGGACCCAGCTCTGTTGCTGGCACACTGACTCCAGAAGAATGCGGTCCAACATGCCACCAGCCACGGCGCCGCTGACGGGGACAACCGCGTCCAGGTCCTCCGGGGGCAGCGGCGAGTCGGACTCCAGTCGCGGGAACATCTCCGGCCAGGATAGCGCCTCCGCGGCTCCTCCGGACGACGGGGAGAGCTCCATGGTGCGCCGGAGGGACGAGGCGGCGGCGGCGGCGGCGTGCACCCGAGCGGCGGCCGGCGCGGACGCGGCTCACCTCCGTCGACGGGGACAACCGCGTCCAGGTCCTCCGGGGGCAGCGGCGAGTCGGACTCCAGTCGCGGGAACATCTCCGGCCAGGATAGCGCCTCCGCGGCTCCTCCGGACGACGGGGAGAGCTCCATGGTGCGCCGGAGGGACGAGGCGGCGGCGGCGGCGGCGTGCACCCGAGCGGCGGCCGGCGCGGACGCGGCTCACCTCCGTCTC